GTGTGTGTGTGTGTGTGTGTGTGTGTGTGTGTGTGTGTGTGTGTGTGTGTGGTTTGCGAGTCCCTAGTAAAAACGAATGCCACAGAAGAAAATTGCGAAATCCTGAAATACATCATGTCTGTGTTGACACAGATCTATTTATAGAGTAGGATGTCGAAAATTGGTTGACTCTGTTACTAAATATAATATTATTTGTTCTGCACGCCTGGCAAGCGAAATATCGATTTTTAACCAAGGCTGAACCAAAATAGAATAAACTCTGGCCAAAAGTAACATCACCTTAGAAGAATAGAACTTAGGTTAGGTACAATTGTCATATGAACGCTTGTTCGTGAGATTTACTTTATATTTCTACCTCTTCTCATACAGAGAAATAGCACTTTTAACTTTGTCGAGGAAGAACCAATAAAATTATAATTCACGCTCTCCCCCTTTTAATCGACAATCACCATCAGTTGCGAAATTAACCTGGCCAAGTTTTACAAGTCTTGTTGTTTGTTTGGGCAAGAGCAAAGGCAATTTTAACTTAAGTGTACACCTTGCATTTCCGATTCGGTCGCCCATAATTTACGTAGAATCTAGATCTACTCACAGTTTGAACAGGTCTGTTGCTTAATGTTTTTCTTAATCTTGACTAAAAAGTCACAGGTGAACGGAAAATAACCATTTGAGAGATAAGTCGAGGACGAGTGGCTGGACTTTTCAAATTCAATTAAATTTTGTCCTGACATACTCAACTGACCTGAACATACAGATTGTCTACTCTGGCGTGAGCCGTAGGCTGGGAACATAAAATACCGTCTTGACGTAATAGTTTTCTTTAAAAAACTGAGCTTGATGCAATATTTACATTACCAACCGTTGATTGATAAAGAATTTTGTTATAGACCAGATCAAAGTCTTAGTCTAGATCTCTAGAACCATAGAATTTCAATGGTAAAAATAATTTTTTAATCATACATAATATAATGGATTCAGTAGTCAGTAGTTGAAAGCTTGACTAGAATTAGATCTAATCTAGATCTAAATCTAGATTCTAGATCTAGATCTAGATGATCCCCACAATTTCAATGTAGGCTAGGCCATCATATAGGCCTAGAGTCTAGTTATAATAATGGATGCTCGACTCTATTGCAGCTATTCTCAATTTACGATGCATTGTAGAGGATGTTCTCTGTGTACATTCATAATTATTATGTGCTTTCGCAGGAGTAACACCATTTCCACCTGATGTGGCTGTGCTGTAAAAACTAAATTTGTTCCCTCATCCGATCCAGACATTGGGGATAGAATTGTTTGTGAGACATCTTCCTGGGCCTTCGGCATTGTCAGGTAGGGTGGCCTGTTCCTTTCCACGCTGCCTTTACTTCCTCAACTCGAAGTCAAACGTACTGCTGGGTGGGCAGGAGGGGGCGAAAAAAATCTGTGTCCAAACTAAGGCTCTTCGGAATCGGTTGCGCAGTCTCCGATGCAGAAATTCATATTTTCGCTTTTTTACCCCACATGAGACCCTGCAATTTGTAATTAAATCAAACTAGAATCTATCTTAAAAATTAACAGGCTTCTTTCCAAGCTGCATATATTATTATGTGTGTTACAGACATCTTTAATGTGATGCATATTTATTTCTTGATTTTACCAGTAATCATAAGTATTGTTGTGCTCTTTACTGTTGCACTCAGAAAGCGTTACATAAAAGTAATTTGACATGAGTCCAAATAATCTGCAAGTGCATGGGGAGGTTTTTTATCGAGTACAGTAAAACCAAACCTCGAGACCCCCACCCCTCCTCCCGGTGTACCGCCACCCTGCTAACTGCCAGGTTTGCCAATGTACAAAGTAAATGAACGACTTTACATGAACATAGTATTTTTGTGTCTTCATACTGCCTTCCTGCTTGAGCAACTGTTTGAGTTGTAGGGTCCTTATTAACTCATTCGCTACGTATTATTTTCGGCTTGTGGACGAATTTTTTTTCGGGAGGGCGAACGAGATGATGACTAGGGGGCAGGTAAAAGATCTTTGGGGCCACAAATTCAAAAAAATATCAACATATTATATACCAATATTTCCAGTAAGGATTGTAGAATACATCTGCAGTGTTTATTTATGTATTTTTCAACTTTGGTTGAAGGGATGCAACACAATTTTGATTGGATGCGGATAAAATTTGAAAATAAAAACTTTATAATCTTTGGTGAAACTAAAAAAATATGCTTGCACGTAGTCAAATCATACATCAAAATAAACCTAAATTAATATATAGAACTGGAAAATATTGAAAAGTTAGCAGTTATTCACATACATTCCATAATATTTGTACATTTGGATCATAACATCCGATATTGAAAAAAAAATAAAAAATTTATTAATCTTGAAAAACGATCACAAACAGAAAAAAACCCACTCGTATCTTATATGGAATTATTCAGAATTGCATTTGGAATAAACCTATACATATCTTGAGTTGCACTTTTTGTGTAATTTCATCAAAAAGTAGTGATTTTTGGGAGAAAAAAAATATTTTGACAATTTAGATCTAGATCTAGATCTAGATCTAGATCTGGCACTCAAAAATATTGATTTCTCAATGACAGTGCATTGGCAATATGAGTCCAATCGTATCAATATTATAAAAAAGAGTCCTACACCTTTTTAGTTGGCAAAATAATGATAGATTTTGTTGTGTAAAATTACTAAGACTGGTGTCCGGGCTATAATTTTGGCATCGTGATAAAACAAAGTCGAATAAACTAGGAAATCGCGTTTCAATACTGAATCTAAACTTCCGATTTTTAGTGGAAATGCTTGACCCGGAAGTCAACATTATATTATGACCTTTATTTTAACATGGATATGTGAATAGAATCTAAGCTAAAATTGAAGATCGGTTCTCGAGCCGCTGGGGGCAGCTTAGCGTACTGACGGCACTTTAGCCGCGCCGCCCCCCACGGCTCGGCGTAGCGAATGAGTTAAACTAATGTAAATTTGCCCCGCTATACCATCAGCAAATTGCCCGCCAGAGATAGTTCACTACCCATGGCGCTCAACACCTCCTCTTTGATTGCTTAAATATATATCTTTCTCCATACATCATCTCTACCCACCGGTAGAATATCTGGCAATGTCAGAGATCAGTTTGTTGACCTCAAGGCGGCGGGCGCCTCATGCAAGGCTTATTGATAAGTTTATTGTGTGAGGACTCATATATGAGAGTCTACATGACAGGTGTGAGGCGGCTCAAGGACTGACGGGCATCGAATAATGACACAGCTTAGCTTCTGATCTGGTAGAAAACTTTGATTTGAATCTAGGTAAAGTCCTGCTGGGTTTGAATTTGTACAGACACACATACACACACACACACACACACACACACACACACACACACACACACATACACACACACACACACACAAAAATACATACACATACAATATACATACAATCACATGCACCCACAATGTATACATACAACCACGTACACACACACACACAATGTATACATACAATCACATACACACACACAATGTATACATACAATCACATACACACACACACACACACACTCACACACACACACACACACACATACCCATCACACACATACATATCACACACACACAACATACACAGACACAGGGAGAATACAGACCTTCAGCTCTCAATTTATATGTGTGTAAATAACACCAACAAAATGTTTTCAAACACAGTTCGCACATCAGAATCATTTCTCTTGATGTCAAGCAGTGGGGACTATTTAAAAGAAACCCTGTTAAATCACCTGCCCCGCTTTTCCACCAACTTCATGCTCACCTCAAGGATGGTGGTATACGAGGTTTGAAGCATGTTATAAGGGTCTACCTGCGGTAATGCTGTATCCTATTCTACCTGGGTTAGACTTAACTGGCAGGGTGAAAGAAAGCAGCCCGCCTGCTGTTATGATCTGCATGTAAATTGTGTTCATTTGGGAAGTTTGCATTTTTGTGTTGTACAATATAATCTTGAACTTTTGTCCTCTCTTTCATTGGTTTGAAAGAACACCTTGAAGAAGGAGAGAGCCTTAAATGGAGAACTTGCCTCTTTAGCATTCTGGGGAAAAAAATCTGTGCTGCTGAATTTTTTTCAGATAATGGTTTACAAGTGATTATTCTTTGATTTTATACCAAAAATTAATGTGTTTTAAAATGCTCAAAATTCTGACTTTGAGAATAACATATATATTATTTGCCCCTGTTAGTGATTCTGTTTCAAAAGCCTTTGCCCGTTCATCTGATTTGTAAAATTAATACAAGCAACGATAAGAAGGCCACGTAAAGATCTTATTTGTTTCAGTACACGTGATTGTCCACAGCTCACGAATGGAGAAAGTAGTGGCGGCCTTGTTCAAAGTTGGAATCGTTGCCTATGGGCCTGCATGTCTTCTGTATGCTGTTGGTTTATTTTCGGACAACTGGGTTGAGTTTCAATTTGAGAAGCTGGGAAAGACAGGTTCCGCTGGCTTGTTTTGGGAATGTGTTCTCGAGAACGCCACGAGCGAGGACACTGAGACTGAGCATGGCCTTAAAGAGGGAGATCTTTTCGTTGACTGGAAACGCTTTGACAACATCGGTGTACCAGGTAGGGCTGTCTTGTTTTTGTTCTGACCCCTTTGTTTGTGATATAATATGTAATACTTTCAAACGGGACATAATATTGTTTGGCCAATTTAAATTTATTTTTGTTTTGCAGTTATTCTATTTTATTGTAATTTCTCAAGTTTTATGTGTGGATTTGTTTCAAATGTCATAGAAATTGTATAGATCTGTTTTTTAAAACAGCTGATAGCTTCATGATATATCACATATCCACACTCTTTCTACAGAATGCTATGCATGCGATTTACAACTATTATTACCCCAGCAAGCAAACTCTAGAACATGACTCAGAATATCCTTGACTTTCTGTAAGTAAAGCATACAGTTCAAGCTGCAGATTTCACGCATTCACCCACTAACAAACTGACAAAATTTTTCACTGTCTAGGCCATATATATCAAGTCTTATTAAAATCAGCTGCACTTTTAGTTATTGCACCCTTGATATCATTTTGAGGGGAATTTTAAAGAAAGATGGAAGGAGACAAAATTTGAGACTAGTCCTGTCTGAGAATGGCAACCTTTCAAATTTGAGAATTAAGTCGGATGGATTTCCCTCCCATGGACTAAGCTAACACTCACACATCTTATCCGAGATCTTAGCTTGTTCTAGAGCTGAGTGTAGACAGACTAATAAATAAATGCACTCAGTATAATTATATATTTCAAGACCATTTCCGTTTACAGAGAAGTAATTTTTTGTTGGGATCACAAACCTAGCCAAATGGCCAAGGCTTTGACTTTGCCATGATTACTGTCGACCTTATCAGACATGGTCCAGCAGGAGAAGAGGTAGACCAACTAGCAGCAATAAGAGTACGATCAGAGATGAAGCAATCAGCCAAGGGCTGTATGTGAGAAAACTGTGGAAGTGGCCAAAGACAGACAGGTGTGGCATCAACTGCTCTCTGCCTGATAGTATAATAATATAGGGAGAGAGTATCAGTCAGTAAGAAAGCTATCGGGGAAATATTATATTCACCATTTCTGGCCTCTATGAAGCACATCAGAGTTTGAAATTGGTCCATCCCCAGAAGTTCTGGATGTATAGAAGTGGATCTTGGTTTGATTTGATATTTCCTTTAAGTTTCAATATTATATCCTGTTCTGATGAGGGAGTTGGCGCTCCACCTGTTTTTAGGCCTACTTCAGGAAGGATGGAAACTAAAAAAAAATATTTTTTTAAAATAAGGAGAGCAGAAAAATCAGTCTGTGACCTTGCACTGCATTTTTTTTTAATTTTATTTCTTTCCTTCTTTTAAAAAAAAATTTTTTTAACTTTCGTCTTTTCTCTCAGGGTACATCCACGAGACTCGTTTGTTGATGATTCTTGGGATGATCTGCTTGTTGGCTGCCCTCGTGATGGGTTTCAAGTATCTGAGGCGCAGATACTGTCGAATTGGTTGCATCCTGTTTACTTCCTTTAAAACTTGCGTAGTCGGCTGTTGTGGAGGTATGAATCATGTGGCACCCTGAGCTTACATTTTAGTGTACAATGAAGTTCTCCACCTAGTTGTTGATTTTGCTAGAGTAAAATACTCAGAGCAGATGGTTAGACAAGAATTTGGACACAGCATGAATGATATGTTACTGATAAAAATTGTATCAGGCGGTAGATTGGAAGAATCTGAAATGATATGGCACAGGTCGATCTGAGACTTTTTGTGGTAGTAAGCAGGAAGGAGGTACTTTGCCTTTGTTTACTCTATCAAGATCATCCATTAAGATGGTTTTTGGACAATGTTAGTCGTGACATTGAGATTAACCTGTATTTTACCTCAGTTATAGATGTCATGGGATAATTACAAACAGGCCATGTTTTGCTTTCAAACTTCCCCCCGTTTTAGACTGTTTTTGAAGATCAGTAATACTGTATACTCGATTCTGGTTTTTTGTGTTGTTTTTATGCGTTTGCCTATTTCATTTTTAACGGACCTTTTAAATTTGCAACTTGAGTCACCCAGCGTCCTATGTACCAATTCAGTAATTCTCCAAAAATTGCAAATTCAAGTTAGCGCAAGAAATACTTGGCGTATAGTATCTAGTTTTGATCAAGACAAGTAGTAGTTACATTCTAACCTTTACCCGTGTACTTGATTGAACTTATATTTGTTGGCATTGCTTCTATCTGATTAAAAAATTACCTTATAGGTATTTTCTTCATCAACACAGTAGTTGCGTATGCTCACATATCTGCACTCTTACTTCAGCAGTTTACAAAGGTTCTCTCTTAATGTACACATTTATAATGCAGTGTTCATTTACTCTTTGACCTTGATATTTTTCTCACGTGGAAAATCAAATTTTTAGTGACACTCTCATGACTCTCCTCTCCTCTCCTCCTCAGTCGGATTTGGACACTTAGGTTTAAATCATTACCTTAATGAATACCCCAAGAGGCGATACCCTGAAGCCACAACGGGCTGGTCGTACCGCACAGTTCTGGCCTCACTACACATGACAGTTATATGTGCTGGACTCATCATGCTGCCTCGGGTATACTGGCAAGTATCAAAGTTTTTAGGTATAAAGCCACTCAGGGATCATGATCCAGACTCACTGGAGGATGCTGAAGGCAATGATTCTGATCCTGAAGCAGTGGACAGGCCCAGTGACAGAGTGGAAGATGGACCTGGTGACAGAGCAGTTTCAAATGTTGTGGATGAAGACGTAGAAGAAAGAGCTTTGAGTGAAGCAGAAGGGAACCCCCATGATGTTTCCACAACACGTTCACTTCATCCAATCAATGTAAATGACATAGATCCAGAGGTTAGCCTTCGAGATAGGTTCGCAATTTCTTTTATGTCACATGTCCGTCCAACAGCAAATTCCAGCACTGTCTTAGATAGAATCAATGAACTCAGAGCTCAAATACATGAGCTCGAAGATGACATGTCTGAATATCATGCAGCTGGAAGTTCCCACTCTGACTCTGATTCCAACAGTGTCAATGCACTTCCACACTCTGATGAAACTGACCCCCCTCCAGCGTATCATCTAGTACAGGATTCAAACCTTTCACCCCAACAACGCCGTGACAACACAACCTCCATACCCCAAGAGCACAATGACAGCTCTGCACCGCCATCATATGAGGCTGTCATCAGAGGTCTGTATGCTATATATTCCACTATTCCTGCTACAGTCTCTGGGCCATCTACTACCACCGTGTCTATGCCTTCTGATACTTCCGCTTCCTCTGAAACAATTACTGAAGAATTGCGTGCTTTGAGAGAACATCTACCAGTACGGATCTTGCCCACTCTTCGGTCCTGGTTACCAGGTCATCTGTCTAGAATAGACGGCGCTGCCTCTTCCAGTGAGTCACAAGACCCAGATGTTGCGTCTGTGTCAGTTCGGGCAGGAGCTTGGTCTTCTCCCGAGCACAGAGACCCTGTTTTGTCTTCTGCTTCGTTCAGGAACACAACACCTGGACGGGTCTCAGAATCAAGCAGTCCGTCTCAAGTCCAACAACCCCCAGCTTTTTATGTGGACCCCCCACCATCGTATTATGAGGCTGTGCAATCGTAAGATTTTTATTCCCCACACAGCTGCATAATTTAGGAATGTTTCATTGATCTGAGAATGTTAATATATTTTCTGCCTTAAGAAGTAACATCTGAAGAAGGATTATTGGCTCTGGAAGCATTTTCAGTTTGACATTCAGAAAGATATTAAGTGAAAATTCTGTTTGCTCTCAAAAGAGACTGGTATCAAAATGCCTCCACAAATGTGAGAATTACCAGATGTTCTGCTTTATATAAAAGTGATCATGCTGCGATACAAAAGTAGGTATTGATGAACATGCTCCTTAAAGTATGCATAGTATAAATGGACTAGTTTTACCAACAGAAAGTGGAATCTCTTTATATTTTTGTATACTAATGAGCTTCAGTGATACAGAAATAGTTCATTATTATATATATATATATTTGGTGCCATATTTTCCATTCGAACTTTTTGCCTTTAAATGTATAGAAAACATTTTAGGGAAGTAAATTTGAAGTTCCTGCATTAACATTTTTCAGCACGCAGAGCGCAAAACATTTGTCCCCAAGTACCATGAAGCAGATAAGGTACATCTATCTGGATCTCAGAAAAAAAGCGCCCCGAACATTTTTTAATTTTCAGCACTTGGAGAAGTTTTAACATGATGATTTCATCTTCATCAAAATGGGAGACAGAATCGGAACTAAAAACATTAGATGTAGCACATTTATCACCCAAATTCTCATCATGACAGCGCTATAGCAGCACTCATGTTAGATCTGCTCGACATTTTTCAAAGATTTTGGCTCTTTTGTTGTAAACAAACTGATTTTCACTCTCGAAGGCCACACGAACCATTCAGGAAGAAATTTATAACTTTAGCAAGTGTGCATGTCAAAATACAGATCATTGCAACAGCACACTTCTTTCTATATCATGCTAGTGCCAATCGGAGTCCTTTGGGGAAAAGAGACAGCTTCTTACCAGAGTCGCTTGGTGTAGGCCTACCATGGATGCAGTTAAGGTTGTGATTTCTCAGATTTGGATTTAGGATTTAAGTTTATAAATGTAAGACTATTGTCTGCAATATTTAATATTTTCTCAATCAATTGTTGTGATATAATGTGATCCTTGTGCATAATATGTGTAAATGTTGAGATCTTTGGATACTTTTTCTGTGCAGAAGCTATTTTCAGTAGTACTATCTTACACTCCATATGTGTGTATGTTGAACTTATTGTTGCTGTGGCCAAAACACATTCCTTGTAATATATATTTATTCTGGAGCCTAAAACAAATAATATGATGACAATCGCTGGGTAGGCGGTAAAATGAGTTTCCGTTAATTTAATTCTTTTGACGAGCACCTGAATTCACAATAATATGATGCCACAATGATTCAGTGCCTGTTATGGGATTTATTTACCTCTATTATTTTTAAGAATTATATTTTTACCTTGGTTACTCATTGATTGCGCAAATGTGTCATATACTACTTCTACTTTCACCGGATTCATATTCTTAAAAAATTTCTTTTTTACTCTACTTAACCCCTTCAATGTGCTGTTGGCTTACCTGGTACACACAGAGCTTAATACTTAGCTGCTGTGGGCGAACCTGGTATTCCCTTGAAAACCTGTGTTTTGTTTTGGTCATATATCTTCTCTTTTATATCGTTTTGAATGAAGACAGTTTTATCCCTGCTTTAGTGTTCTCTTGCCGGTGCAGATATATGTCTCTCTTCTCTGTATGGAATACGCATGTGATTATGACTAGAACGAAGAGAGGTGTGTATAGTGTGTTTGGAACGAAAGATAAAGCCAGCTCACCAGTAGCCAGTTGCATCTGAGCAGTTCTTGTGTGCAGACCAAACTCACCACCATGGCTTCGCAAAAGTTGACCACCGATCAGGCTACTGCTGAAATGTACCATGATGCAGATAGCGATGATGAGAATTTGAGTTCTTGAGATCAAGGTCTACATCATCATTTGCAAGATTGAACAAGGTGACAGCGATCTGAATTGTATAAAAAAAATCTTTCTCACTTTCAATTGACAAATTATTTTGCAGGACGAATTTGGCTAAAATACACCTCTACCATGCGATTGTATGTTCCTTTCTCTTTTATTTGATATGCACTTTTCTCTCTATGTATATATAGATAATCTATCTCCTGGTGCTTAAAGTAAGCGAGCTATAGCCTTTCAAAGATATGAACCTCATCAGACACAGCTTCTGGGGAATTTTTCCTTTGATACTGGAAGGGCCGGGGGAGGGGGGTTATGATGGTTAGCCAGTAGAGGTTTAAGAAAAAGACATTGTTAATATCACTCTTGCTCTAATCATTTTTCGTACTTTAATTACACCCTGCTTTGGTAATAGCCAGTGGACACAGGCCTTTAAGCGTTATCAAAGAGTAGTTGAAAGTGCTTGTGAACTTGTTATGACATTGGTATAGCACAGCTTACTGATAGATTTTTGCCAAGTAGTAAGTAGTGAGAAAAACAATCAGTATTTTTTGTGCCAGTATTGTTATGATGGTGTCCCTTCATATAGAGTTGAACCAAAGATAGTACAAGACAAGATGGGCCACTCAGCCTAAAAAGTGTCCGCAGGAAGTATGCTCTTTGCTTCAGATGGCGCTGCAGTCTGTTTTGAAGCTCTCTTTCGTTTTTCCAGAAGAAGAATAGGAATAGCACCTCCTTGCGTGCGCAGATTGACTGCTGTTCATCAGCAGTTCGGGTATGTTCAGTGCGGAGTTTTAGGTTTTTTTTATTTTAATGACCTCTCGCCCTTCATTCTAAAGTCAAATTAAACGAAGAAAACCATCTCCTTTTCCTCCGGAAGAGGTTTTTTGTCAGCGTAACCATTTTTAAAAAGCGTACTTCCGAAATGTATCCCGCTAGTTTCACTTTGATTTTTAAAAACTCAAGTAGGGTAACTCTGTTCGCAAAGAGTGCGCTTTTGTGAAGAGGGCGCCACCAAATTTTGAGGACACTTTTTTAATTGGCTCAAAGAGAGAAGTGGCCCATCTTGTCTTGTACTATCTTTGGTTGAACATGAATGTGATGTTTTTATAAGTCGTATTTTTCTGTTTTGATTAGTTTCAGATACCATATTGAATCTATGCATTTTATGTTCGATTACAATTACTGTATTTTCTTACACTTGTCGTGTGGGGTTTTTTTAAGCTATGGCACAAATAATGCTTTCACGCCCTTAATTTTTGTTGCTATCGATTTGTCAAGTGTTCTACTGGTCTGTCATCCAGCACTGTACTGAGACCTAACGTGGAAGTGAAATTTATTGACTGTCTAGAAATATCGGTGGTTTGATTATCCTTTATTACCGGTATATGTATAAATGAATTATGATGTCTTAGGAGACTGCCAAGAGTATCCGAAGTATCGTGGAAGTAAAAGAAATCAAGTAAGGTAGTGCTTGATCAAGCCCACGTGGGACGCTCACTATTAAAAACAATCAAGAAACGACAAATTCAGTTTTTGGGACACCTGAATAGACATAAGGGTCTTGAACATCTAGCTCTCACTGGCAAAATTGAAAGCAAACGAGGCAGGGGTAGGCCCAGAGCAAACTACTTAGGGAACCTAAACAAATGGGTAACAGGGAAAGATCAGGGAAACCTAGCTTTTTTAAGAGCATCAGAGAAAAGGAATGAATTGAGAACCATGATCGCTGATGTCTGTCACAGATCTGACACTGGATGATGATGATGATATGTAGAATTGTGGAAGAGTATGTGATGATTGCTGTCATGAACAGTGTTGGTCTCCGTGAACATATTTGACCATCATCTCATGTTGGCCTTTTTGCCATTCTGGCTTAATTGAACTGAGAATAAACAATCCATTTGACAAATATTTTTGAGAATTCATCATGACCATAAAAGTAGAATTTGTTTCCTGTAAAGGCTGTTGTTGTTTAAACGTATATGTATATATGATTACATTTTATCTTCTTGTGTTGTAGTGAATATAATGGCTCAATATAAAAAGCTCTGATATTCGTTTTTCAAAATAAATATGTATTTAGAGTACAATGTCTACCCAAATCCATGATGCAGTGTGTTTAGAAATTCAGAGAGCCCATTTATAGGACAATAGCTCAGTCATTTTTGCATCAGTTTCAACAAAACTTCTACCAAGTGAATGTCAAATTTGTCTGTATGTCACAATATGAAGAAAATTACCACTCTCTTGTTTGAGAAAAATTAAATGTTCAAAAGTTAGCCAAATTTAAAAGTACAATTTCTTAAAAATCAAATATAAAGTGTATTTATCCATCGAAGAACTCATTTATTTTAAACCAACATTGCCATTGACAGGGTGTCTTAAAAAAGAGGACCCATTTAAAGTGCGGTGTTTTCCTTTTCGAGTTTTTTGAAAGATGGGGTCTACAAAAAAATCCATAAACAATTGATCAGTTGAGACTCAATATTTAGGAGATCCAAATCCAAAGAATTGACCCAGAGACATGCCACAGGGTTATTCAAAATTGTAAGTAGCATTATATTCAAGCGTTTCTGGAGAGACGTGGTCAACGTCTGGAGCCTATTATAATTTAAAGTTACCACTTTCTCCGAGTTTAATTGACTGTGTCATTTTGGAAAAAATTTGTTCTGTTAATGCACAAATACACATTGAGGCTGATTTTTAAGAAGTTGTAAAGTTTTGCATAATACTCAATTTTGGTTGAATTTCTTAAAACATGAAATTACAGGAACACGTCTTTCAGTTTTGTTTTTATTGGAAAATTTTGTGTTCCCTTGATTGAATTGTGTTCAATGTTTTCTTGAAATTGATGCTAGGATGGTGGAGTTGTTGCCCTTTAAATAGGCCCCCTTTTTTTCAGACACCATCTACTTTCCATTCAGTTATCGACATTGTGCTATATGTGTTACATTTTATGTACTACCGGATTCATTTTACAGTTTTCGGAATTACTATTCTTATCTGTGATTTATGCCTTCAAAGATCTAATTTGTTGTGTCTGTTGGGCAGTTTATTTTGTAACCATTTTACAAAGCGCCTTACAATTACTTTTAGATATATGTATACATGGTGTAGGCCTAAATATTTTATCTCCATTATATATTTTTTCTAATATTTTTCCTTTTTCCCCCTAAATCACTGCTTTGGTGCCATTGTATAAGTTTGTTATTCAGAGTACAATCAAAGGAAAGTTGTGTGAGAAAACAACACATTGTTAGGAAGAAAAGTGGCCATCTGAGGCAAGTGGTCCTCGGGGACAGTGTTATTATATTGTAGAAATAAACGCAAGGGAGTATGTGGTCATTTCTATAGGGGTGATCGTCTTGAATGGTGGATGTTAGCAGATTGGACTGTAGTTTTCTCTTTCGTTTTATTGTTTGAAGGACACTGCTATGTGGGCTTTCTCTTTTGGTCCTGTGCCACAGGATGTTTTGTTGTGCTCACTCCACAGTTACACATGTCATTTTATGGATGTTTGGGGGATTTTGCTGAAAACCCTTTTGGCCAATAATTGGGTATTAATATTTCATTTTGCAATTTTTAGTGGGTGCTCTTTTACTTTGCCACGTACGTTTCAACTGTCTAGATATGTAACAGATCACGTGTGTGCATTTTAGCACTTACTGACTGAAAACTATATGTGTGTGTCACGACGTGGTGGAATCAGGCGCTCGTCAAGATCTGGGCATGTGGAGTTATTGGTTTCATCTTTAAAAATGTGTTTATTTTTCTATATTTCGATGGAAAAACTGCCCATCTATCTTGAATAGAACTTGAGATATTTGTGATTGAAAGAGATGAAGTCGCCTAGTTTCAGAAGTAAAATTAGGTAGAAAATGGCTGCCAAAGTTTAGGTGACCTCCAAGACTTGATGGTTCTTTGAAACTGTAAATTTACATGTTGTGTGTCTTTGATCAACGATATTCAGTGACTTCCAATATAGAAAGGTGTACATTTAAATAGATGTTTAAAAGGTGTTGAATCAAAAAGTTAAAAATTGCCCAACGTCCTGATAAATGCTGGTTTATTTTATTTCATTTTTTTGACGAGCGCCTGATTTCACCACACGGTCTCACTATGATATTGTTGATTCCATGCTTTTCTTGGATATACGTTCTGTTCGTTTTCTTTTAATTTTAAGGCTAGTGTGATGATCTTGGGAAATGGTTTTTAAAATGGATCACTCCTCTCAGTATCTCTCCCTCCCTCTTTTTCTTTTTTTTTTAAGAGATCAAAAAGAGATACTGGTGCTTGTGATATGATCAAAGCGATTTGCTGTTGTTTCATGTTATTTTCATGCCTCTGCTGATAGGGCAGTATAATGCTTCTTTCTTCAGTCTTGTGCCATATGATGTGTGAATAGACAGATGGGTGATTGGGTGAACTTACAATTCATGCCAGCAACAAAATTCTGTTCTGTGCCATTTTGTACAGAATCTGATCTACATAATTGTAAAGAACAGAGTTTAAAAATGTATTTGTCTGGTGGTGTTGGAAAGTCATGGTCTTATAAGAAAAATTGCTGTATGATTTACAGATTGTCAGAGTTTTGTCTTCTTCAAAATATCTGTCATAGGTTCTATTTAGTTG